AAAGCACAGCCGAACCCAAGCACCGTGTTAAGTCATGAACGGCGTTGCACACGGCCTTAGAAACGTCCAGCTGGAGCCTCGATATACCCGGGGACCTGACCCCGGTTCGAGCGTGTTCGAAACTTGGCAAAAATCGCGGTAACCGCCTCTGTGCTAGCCGGAAACGGAAGATCGACTTTATGCCCGTGGTCCATTCATGAAGCATTCTTCACGTCACACGGGAAATATTTTTTTTAACAGAGGTGAGTCGTGTTTTGTGGTTGTTCTTCGCGATGGAGAAAGTTGGTCTTGTCGCTCTGACGACTGGAAGATTGGAATCGCTTCTGTTTAACCCTTTCGGTAGCAGATAATGAAGGAAACGTGTTTTCTGCTGGAGCAGGTTCTTTTTTTTTGAATATATACTGGCGTGGCACCGAAAGGGTTAAGAATTTGGATTTTAGGGAAGAGACATAGATCAGAAATGAATACTTTCGAGGCAGAAGATGTTAAAACGGGTGATTTCTGATTCCTACAATTGGAACGAAGAGTCTTTCAGAAGTTCACTATGAAAATAACTGAAAGTTTGACTTGAATAAGTTTTTTTCGGATAGGGTTAAGAATTTGGATTTTAGAATTTCGCTGAAATTCTCAGAAAGATTTCACAAGTTCGCTGTGAGGACTTAAGAGAATAATATGTGCACCTCTGAAGGTGGCAATTTTTGCACGATCGTTCCCTGAAACTCTCGAAAGTCAAAGTAAAAGGAAGAAATTTGACCATTTTATTGTTCGTAAGAGGGAAGTAGGCTCTCGATTGCAGCGCAGCGCGCCGCTTTACAAATAATTCGAAATGGCGAGGTACCACGAGGGACGACGATTCCTTCGGGAAGGGGATTTTTCCGGTAGAGCAGGCGGATCTCCTCGATTGTTCACGTTGTTCACGGCGCAATGAAAGCTCGATGGTACGAACAAAAAGCCGTGAGGTAGACATAAATAAATAGGTGGTGGGTGTGGTTGGTAGGCCGCACACATGGCGTCGTGACCCGTCTCTTCTCTTCGTGAGCTCAGGGCTCGCTTAAGTTATGCCCTAAGGAATGCTGCTGCTCCCGCTTCTTTCGGTGTCTTGGCTAAACGCAGTTTCACCGTGCCCCCGCTCAGTTTCGCCTCCTTCTTCACGCTCGTACTTACCGTTTCTAATGTTTGTTTAGCGAAAGATTCTTATTCTTTTCCTATCATACAGTGATCCTCCGTTTCCTCTGTTATCTTCTAATATTGCAACTCTTCTGATTTACTGGTTTGAAATTGACGTCAATTCTTCTTCATCGTGCAGAGTCCTGTGGCCCACAGATTTTTAAAAGACAATCGTCATCTTGTGAAACGGCTAAAAATGAATTATCCTTTGGTAGGATAATAATGGTAAGTTTGACGACGTCATCGCGAGAATTTTTCGCTTCCGTTTCTCCAGAAACGTAAAAATGCATCGCACGCGTCGCGTCCGTCGAAATCGTGAGGACGATGTCGGCCAGATAACGCTCGACTTTTATAGTCAGAAACGCGGAAGCCGTGGACGCGGAAGTACAATGATCTGGATCCAGAGTGCCCGTTTACCCTTATCTCCGTGGGAATTCTTTCTCATCGGTGGATCGTAATTGAGAGTAATGATCCAGAGGTACATATTTTGTGGAATCACCTCCGTGAAATGCAACCGACATTTACACACATGTATACACCGGTAGAAACTAATGGTAACAGAATAAACGAAGAAAATGAACGATGATCTGAGTGAAAATTTCGTCATTGCCGGGCATTAATACATACGTGGCTGGTTTCGAACCGAAAGAAGAGCATCGCCATAGGCGAGGAAAATCACGTTAATATTCGAGGAAGCAACGGTACCAGAAACGTCCGTTATATTATAAATTAGAGACGAATAGAAAGACTCGCTTCACAAATTACGTGAATAATTTATGCGTCTACGCGAACGTTCGCGTGCCCGCGTATATACACTTCTGGCGAGAATTGCAACTTGCTCCGCGCGAACATTCAATAGAGTAACTGGTATCGAGTATCGCTCAAAATATCAATTACCGGGGATTCCTTGGAGCTTCTTGGTGGCTTGTTAACAGCCAGTCAACACGTTACACATCGAACGCGAACATCTTGTATTTCATTTCTATCGTATGCTTCTGTGGCGGAGAAAATGGCTCGGCGAATGTTTAATGGTACGAGCGTGAAGTAACGAGTGAGAGAGAGAGAGAGGATCCATTAGAAAACCGACGAGGAAATTAACGCTGTAAAAGACAAAATCGTTGATTCGTTGTTTATTAAAATCTGGCACGGTCGAGAGAGAGAGAAAAAACGCGGTTGACCCGGCGATACAACGTTTAATTATCGCCCACCACACAATTTGCTCGACCGTTTACCGTTAGAGGCGGTGCTCGATGTATACACAAATATGGCACGGCTCGTGATTCGCGGCAAACCGTTAATAACGCGCGAAGTGTCTAAAAGCTACAACATACGCAACGCCGCTGCACAGTCGTGCTCTAAACGGACCATAAAATCAAGAACGTCCCGGGAGTCCAGCGAAATTCTGCCCGATTCCGACGATTTTACTGTTATCGGAAACGGTTAGCTTTGCTTGCAGGTAAAAGGAAACTCCTGGCGGTGATTAGGTTCGATTTTTAACGGTAACATTTGCCGCGAGTTAGAAAAAACGCACGGAAGAGATTTTTAATATGGCACATTCGTATCGAATTAACTTGGTCATTTTAACGGAGTTGAAGAGTAACGGAAGAGGTGTTCGCGATTTTTACGTGAAATTGTTTTTGAATCGCGTAATTGACGCGTATGCAAATGTCGGTGTAACGTGGAAAAAAAAATTGTCGATCGCGGTGGCAAGACTTGCGCGATTTAACGAGCGGCGGCCGCGCGTCCACGGCGAAAAGGCCCCAACCCCCGTATAATCTCCGTCAATTTATCTGCCGCGGCGCATTTAATTCCCCAATTACGGGAAACTTTCATTGCACATGATAATTACGATCCCGCTTGCTAATTAAACCCCATTAATCTCTTATTACGGAGCTGCTGTTGAATCATCCCCGTTTTATATACGTGTATGTATGTAGACATATATATGTATATGTATGTAGGATGAAACAGAAGAAGCGAGGAAGGAGTTAGGGACAGGGAAAAAAAGGC